CAATAAACATATATAGTTTTTTTTTTTAAAATCTTATTATACCTAGAACTGGCCAAATTAGAGAATCTGGCCGCAGGGATTTGTAAGTAAACCAGACTTTACTAGATAACTTAAACCCAGGAAAACCCAGAATTCTAAGTGGTGAGCAGAATTTTAAGACAGTCCCCGAAACTCCCCAGCCCTGGTATACATACACTTTCTCTCATTTATTCCATCAAACATTGATCTAGGGATCTAGGAGATGCAGTTAAGGTCCAAAATCCACTGTTTCTGACAGGGGCTGACCTACTCAATCACTCTTCTAAATGTGGTTTTCTCTGGCTCATCACAAAAGAGAAAATGAAAGATTCCAAGCACGAGCACAATTAGCCATTCTTTTGTTAGACTGAAGATTTCAGCCTTGTAAAACCCTGGGCAGAGAGCCTGTTGGTCATGCTAGACGCCTGAGCTGCAAAACCGCAAGCTAATTAGTGGGTGGGGTTTTATGCTGCTAAATTTAGGATCACTTGCTATGCAGCAATAGAAGGCCAATACTCCAGGTGATTCCCCTGCAAGGTTTTCTGAATTTCTTCTATGCTAGTATGTCACTAGTATTTTAGAAAGAGCCTGGGGTATATAGAAAAAAGAAGTGACTTAATTTTATTATTTTATTTTTTATTGATTTCAGAGAGGAAGAAAGAGGGGGAGAGAGATGGAAACATCAATGATGAGAATCATTGGTGGGCTGCCTTCTGCACACCCCATCAGGCCCTTTCAAGTCTGGGGATCGAGTCTGCAACGTAGGCATGTGCCCTGACCGGGAATCGAACCATGATCTCCTGGTTTCATAGGTTGACGATCAACCACTGAACTACACCGGCTGGGCAAAAAGAAGTGATTTTACTCCTCTTGCTTGGTATTTTATACTAACATCTATGAAGGAACAAAGATCATATTCCTCTATCAACAGTAATCACGAGCTGTTAATATCCATCAGTGATTTTTACAGTAATTAACCATAAGGCCTTTGTGGTTAGCTCCAAATCCTGACCCTACCAGCTGTGTGGCCTTGGGAAAACCATTTAACTTCTATTTCCTCATCTGTGAAACTCAGGTTGTCAGTGACGATGAAGTAAAATTACATATTTGAAAGGGCCTGATGCATAGCAGCTGCATAATAAATGCTAATTTCTTTTCTTTACCAAATAATTTCTAATACTTCCCCTGGCCTACCCTTTTGTTTTATGCTTTTTTATCATCTCATGGGACACTCTCTTGTGTGGTAGGAGAAATACTACATGTGCTGAAAGCCATTGCAGGAAAATGCTCCTACGTAGTGTAGGGCCATTAAGATTTATGTCCATCTCGAATGAAGAGAGGTTTTGTGATCACGAGTTAGTAATAGTCACAGTTCATCAGCCAATGAGGTGAAGGGAGAAATGGTTGAGACTCTGCAGGAAAGATGGTGCTGGTGGTCTCTGTGACTCAGCTGCCTGGGCCCCGAGTTGCCCCACTGCCCCCAGGGCTGGGTGATGGGGAGGAGGGCAGGGAGCAGTAATCACACAGATACAAGTACATCACCTAATACTTCTAGAGTGACCGTGTTCTCTTCCAGCCTTTGGCCTTCGTTAGTTGGGGTGCTAACTTCACAACGGTATTTCCCGGCATCATTTCTTGTAACATTTTTGATCCTGATGCTGAAATCCATCATCTGAGCTCGATCTTTAAAGTCACCTTTTAGAAAGAGAAGACAACGATGTGGATAATAATACAAGTCATTGTCTATATACTACCTTCCTCAAGTCACTTCATTCAGTGCCCAAAGCAGTTATTTTTCAATCAATAAACTTAACTTAAAAGTTGTATATGGGTGCTGCTATTTCAAACTTATTTTCTTTAATCACCTACCTTAGAGAGATCAATGCATAGCCTGTTTTGTTGCTTCTGTACTCTAACCACTGAGTTATTGTGCAACAAATCCCAGACATCCTAGCATTTCTTTCATCCATCAACACTTTAAATCAAAAGCTTGTCCCATATTCAATAGGAAGAATAGGGAGTAGAAATGTAAGACAAATAAAAAATAAGAAGAGAAAGCACTGGGTAAAGGTAGTTGCATTTACCCTCCTCTAAGTCTTACTCCCTAAGCATTGCAGTGATGGAGATACTGAAATACAACGAAGTTATTACAAGTGAGCAGTGACCCAGCATCCCACCGGCACCATCTTGTCTTCCTTTCTCTAGAGAGGAAGAACAATTGCGTTTTACACCCTGGAGGTCTGAGCTGAGCCATGAAGGGTCCAGGGCCCCAGTGGAGTTTGCCTACTTCTGTGCTGTGTTCTCTGTTTCAGGGGCTGTGTGCTAGGTCTCCGTCACTCACTGTTGGTTTCATCTCCACATACAAACACATATTTTCAGCAGCCAGCTATGTCCTGTTCTCACGTGTAAACTAAAGGGTAGCAGCTGTGTTTGGTGTTTGTTCTCTTGCTCTCACCTCGAGTCCACAGCTTCTTACCTCTGAGATCCTGGCCATAGTAGACAAAGGAGACACTCTGCCCCAGTTTCTTCCACTCTAATCTGGAGGCCGGGGTCTTCCTTGGGAATTTGCAGGTTAAAATAACCTCTAGAAACAACAACAAAAGAACTTATTGCTAAATTGTCCCTCTGAAATTATATTTCACTTAATGAGGCAATGAATTTTTAACATCTTTAAGTTATTTCTTTGTATTTCTATTCATTCATTTCATCCATCCATCCATCCATCTATCCAGGCATTCATTTTTTAAAAATATATTTTATTGATTTTTTACAGAGAGGAAGGGAGAGGGATAGAGAGTTAGAAACACCGATGAGAGAGAAACATTGATCAGTTGCCTCCTGCACACCCCCTATTGGGGATGTGCCCGCAACCAAGGTACATGCCCTTGACCGGAATCGAACCTGGGACCTTTCAGTCCACAGGCTGATGCTCTATCCACTGAGCTAAACCAGTCAGGGCTCCATTCATTCATTTCATCAATCCATCCATCCATTCATTCATAAATTATCTCAACATGTACCACATGGCTTAACCCAAAGGTAAACTGAAAGAATTATAGCTCTTCCACATAATAATTGTGTGACACTTTGTTACTTCCCCTAGTTCTTGGGCATCAGTTACTATCTGTAAAATAAGATAACATCTCAAATTCTTGTGAGTCTTCAAATACAATAATGTATGCACAGTAAGTACTTTAAAATGGCAGCAGTGATTAATTATCTTATCCGTTCCAGCCTCAGACTTTGAGGATTTTATAGTCTGGAAAAAGAGGCAAATCAGATGATGCCATTTTGGTCCAATGTGCTGAGCGCCAGGGTGGAGGTAAGCGGAGCGTGCTTCATAGCCAGTGCCCAGCAGAGGCACTAAGTCCAGCCCAGGCCATGCTGTGCACACGCACAAACGTCCCCTCAACTGGCTACATTTCCACTAAGATCCCTTCTTTGGTTACCCTCTCTACGAATGCATTAATACAAACCCAATATTGTCTTCTAACAAGTTGTTGAGTCCTACCCCTTACCACAATCCAGATAAATTATGGTAAAACTGTCATATGTCTGATTTTGATGGTAAACAGATTTAATGCCATAAAAAAGACACCAACAGGCCGAAGCCGGTTTGGCTCAATGGATAGAGCGTCGGCCTGGGGACTGGAAGGTCCCGGGTTCGGTTCCGGTCAAGGGCATGCACCTGGGCTGCGGGCACATCCCTGGTGGGGGATGTGCAGGAGGCGGCTGATCGATGTTTCTCTCTCATTGATGTTTCTAACTCTCTATCCCTTCCTCTCTGTAAAAAATCAATAAAATATACGAAACCGGTTTGGCTCAGTGGATAGAGCGTCGGCCTGCGGACTGAGGGGTCCCAGGTTCGATTCCGGTCAAGGGCATGCACCTGGGCTGCGGGCACATCCCTGGTGGGGGATGTGCAGGAGGCGGCTGATCGATGTTTCTCTCTCATTGATGTTTCTAACTCTCTATCCCTTCCTCTCTGTAAAAAATCAATAAAATATATTTAAAAAAAGACACCAACAGGATATTATATGATAAGGTAGATTAGAAAGCAATACTTATAATACTATCCTGGTTGTATTAAGAATATTCACATAGGTATGAACAAAAAGCCTGTATAAATATATATGAAAATATTAACTCAGTGATGCTTTCTGTGTGATAGATTATTTTTCTTTTTGTTTTACGTAGTTTGCTAAAGTTTTTTTTTAGTTCCACATGTATTGATAGAATTATAGAAACAGAATAAAAGGTAATGGAAAATAGAAAGTAGGTTAAAGAAAGGCAAGGGGAAAAAAAACCCCAAAGTTGTTTTCAAAGATGCCTAAAGATGTAAAAGCAGGTTTTACCTTACAGAGAGCCATCATTTTACAGACATGTTTACAGTTAGAATGCAAAGACAAACGCGTGCTGAGGAACTGGTCTGAGGAAACACAGTTCCATTCTGTTGATTAAGGAGAATGGGTGGGGACTTTCCGGAGTGTTGAGTTTTAGATAGGTTTCCTTCCCGTATTTTGTTGAGTTTCCAACAATTAAACACACACCCACACTCATTTTTAGCCCATATTCCTAGTTCTTAGGAATACATTTACTTTCAATTGTTTCACATATTTAACTAGACACATGCACACCCCTGTTCCTAAGTTCTCTCCTCACTGCTCTATGGGGAACCTTTGCAGAAATTACATTCGAAAACATAACCAAGGATTTTCCTAAATGCAGTGGACTCCGCTCCAGCCTCATTCGCACTGGGCACGTGAACTGTGGGGAAATGGTCTGTGCAACTTGTCTAAAATACACTGAGTACTTAGCATGCATCTGATATTTTTCTGGAGCCATGTCAAGGCGCAACACAAAGGTTTCTGTCCTTTTGGGTCTTACAATTGGCAAGAGGTCAGAAAATCATGAAGTGAATTATATAGTATATTAGCATAAGTGTTATAGAAATAGAGTAGATCAGAGGCATGGGAATTCTGGGGGACGGGTGCAATTAAAAAAAAGAATGTAGTCAGAGTTCACCTCGTTTTGAAGGTGACATTTGAACAAACACTTAAAAGATGGAATTCAATCCTGTCTGAATGGCTCCGTGGTTGAGCATGGACCTATGAACCAGGAGGTCACAGTTCGATTCCTGATCAGGGCACATGCTGCAGTTACAGTCTAGGGTCCCCAGTAGGGGGCGTGCAGGGACAGCCGATTAATGTTCTCACATCAATGTTTCTCTCCCTTCCTCTCTGAAGTCAATAAAATAATAATAACAAAAAAAGATGGAATCAGAATTCCTTAGAATTCTAACTAGAATGTCCTAGAACTCCAATTTAGAATTTGCCATGTGATTCTTTGGGTGCTCTAAGCAAGGGATGAGCCAGGGCCCAGATCCTGAGGTGCCAGCACCTTGACCCCCAGACCCGTGAGGAACAGTAAATCTGGGGTCAACATCTGAGCATAAAGAAGCAAGTGAACTTAAAAGATAACTACCAGGGACTCTCCTTCTTCTTCTCAGCCAAAAGCCAACACTCAAGGCCAGCATCATTCTGCATCAAGCCCTCAGGGTCATTACGTCATCATACAGTAGTTTAACACGGGCTTTGAAGTTAGACCTTTGCCAAATACCAGCTGTGTGATATTGTGCAAATTACCTAACTTGCACAATAGGTAAAGTTCTTGTAAGGTTTAAATGAGATGATGTATTTATGTACTTGGGTGCACATGGCACTTTTCATATAGTACATGTGCCATAAATGGTCATTATTACTTTCATACATGAGGAGCTTCTCTTAGTTGTAGTGGTAAGACTGCCTCGACATGACAGAAATCCACACGTTATTACCATTACAAATTCACCTAAAAAATCACTTAGATTTGAACTAAAGTGTTACCTTTGAGACAGCAAAGAAAATAATATAGAGATAAATCATATTTTCTCAAAATAAGGCATATTGAAACAAAAAATGCACTAAGTTTTTCCATTAAAATGCTTATTTTATTTAGATTGAGAAAATGTAATTCTTTGTTTTTTTAAAGTTTAGTGCCTGTTTGTTTTTTGATAGCTTTTTTTGAGAGAGGAAGGGAGAGAGAGAGACAGAGAAACACTGATGTGAGATCAAAACATCAATTGGCTAGATCAATGATTCGCTCTCATCATTAGTGTTTCTATCTCTCTCCCCCTCTCCCTTCCTCTCTGAAGGCAATAAAAATATATTGTTAAAAAAATCGATTGGCTGCCTCCTGCATGCCCCCTACTGGGGAGTGAACCCACAGCATGGGCATGTGCCCTGACCAGGAATTGAACTGGCAACCTTTTGGTGCACGGGACAATGCCCAATCAACTGAGCCACACCACCGAGGGCTAATTCTGTGTTCTGATAAAGCATTGGCACAAATATTTTGCTATGCTATGAATTTTAGTTTTTCTAGGATTCGGTACTGCTGACTATCTTCTGGTTTTCTTCTCTGTGCGCAAGTTAAAATCATCAAAATCTTATATAATGCAAGAAGAGAATTGATACTACCAAGGTAATTGTGAAGAATTCAAATTACTTCTGTGGAGAAAAGCATCCTATTAAACCCCAATTTATAGCTCTTGGGGTTGGACATTCTACATGAGGCTGTTCATATAATTTAAAAGCCTGATAGAGCCACCTTTTTTTCAGTCTTATTCTGTTTTTGGCACCACTGTGGGAAGTGATAGAGAATAGCAGTACTGGAAAGAAGGAATTAATTCATGATTTACTGGTATTGATATCAGAGTGATAGAGACAAGAAGCTGAATGAATTGGATGGAACACATCTTAACTAATAATAGACAAACATGTAAATTAACCATCCCTCTGCTATGCTCACCAGCCAATCAGGAGACTATGCAAATTAACAGCCATCTTTTTTGAGTTAATTTGCATATGTAGGGGCAAAGTGCAAGAGCGAAGGCTGAAGGCTCCATCCAGAGCCACGAAGACTGAGGGCTCCGGCCAGAGGAGCGAAGGCCTGGGTCGTGGTGCCGGAGGAAAACCGGTGCCAGCAGCCAGGGGAGGGAAGACCTATTGCATGAATCTCTTCATGCAACGGGCCTCTAGTATATACATAAATCATAAAATATTTTAGACTGCAAGTAAAATCAAGTTACTGCATGCAATATCCTAAAACTAAAAAGTAGAAGTAGGAATTTATTTTTGCTTTATGGAGAGCCAAGTTGGAATGATTGGGCACATATAAAATAGAACCAAAATGTAATTCTTAATTAAAAGGAGCAGAGGTGAAACCAAAAGATAGAAAAATACTTACTTGGGACTAAGACAAACATTTGATTGCAATAAATTATAGAAGAATTTTCTGCAGTAAACATAAAACACACGCTAAAAAGTAATGTAGCCCTGGCTGGTGTGGCTCAGTTGGTTGAGCATCATCCCATGCACCGAGAGGCCACCAGTTCAATTCCCAGTCAGGGCACATGCTTGGATTGTGGGCTTGATGCCCAGCAGGGAGGATGCAGGAGGCAGCCGATTGATGTTTCTCTCTCACATCAATGTTTCTCTCCCTCTCCCGCTCCCTTCCTTTCTATCTAAAATCAATAAAAACATATTTTTTAAAAAGTAATGTAAATGGTACAGAGTTTTAGTATGGAGTGATGTTTTGAAACTAGGTGGAGGTAGTGGTTGCACAACATTGTGAATGTACAAATGCCACTAAATTGTTTACTTTAACAGTGTATTTTATGTTATGTGAATTTCGCCTGAATAAGTTTTTTATTTATTATCATCATTATTATTTTGTTAATCCTCACCTGAGGGTATTTTTTCCATTGATATTTAGAGAGACTGGAAGGGAGGGAGAGAGAGAAAGATAGAAACACTGATGTGAGAGAGACATATAGATTGATTGCCTCCTACATGTGCCCAGACCAGGCCAGGGGAATCGAACCTGTGATCCCTTGGGGGTGAGGGCTGATGCTCTAACCACTGAGACCACCAACCAGAGCTCAGTAAGTTTTTTTAAGAAGAATGTAAGACTAAAGAATATAACTGGCGTTCTAATTCAGATATCATGGCATAGGGCCGAGGGGGCAGGAATGGACGTATATCCATGGTATCCTGTTGCACTCAACAGTTAGAACCTCCTGGAAAGTAAAAAGTAGGAGAAACTAACTTCATTCCTTGTCCCTCGTGAGCATCCTGACCCATCTTCCTCTCAATGTGCTCACTGTTTTGGCCTTGACAGTGTCTTTGGTACCTCTTCCAGACCTGCTTATCCTTCCTCTACGTACGTTCCATAGTTCCAAATTACTTCCAATCTTTCATTTCCTCTTCCCACCTCTGCCCATTTAAAACTAAGCCATGATAAGAGTATTGTATTAGCTTACTCATGTAAAATATTAGAACTTTCTAAATACTTAAGTAATTTGTTATTAAGGGATGTTATTTTTGAATGATAGGCTGACTCTTATTATAGCATG